TTAAACTCTCTACCATCTTGTGATCCAGCAAGGCAGGGGCAGATCTTTTGTTGTAATGTGCCATATGAGAACAAAATGCCCTGTTGCATATGAACAGTTATGTTTTGTTTTGAGGTTTTGTTTTTTTTGTTTATTTTTTTTTTTTAATGATTTAAATCCATCTTAATCATACAGTATGTACAGAATTATTTTTATAGCTACACTTTTTTGCAGCTGAAAATATTGTAAATACTGTAAATGCGATCCAAATGACAATAAAACAGCAAACAGTTTAAAGTGTTACTCTTCTGTTCTATTTTTTATTTTTTTTATTTTAATGTCATCTGCAGTCGGTTAATTAAGCGTACAGAAGTGATTATATCAATCAGTGGATGGTCCCTACGGTGCAGCTGATTACAGCTGTGGGGGATGAAAGGAGAAGTGATTAGGGAAAGAAACAAAAGTAGAGAGAGTTTTGTCACCGGGTCTCCTCTAAAGATGGAGATGAGGTCAAGTTCAGTAACTCTACCCTGTAGACATTCCACCACGTGACCCTCGTGCGCCAAAGAAATCTCACCACATACGTGACCGATCAGGACTTTACGTCTAGTTATTTCCACTCAGCTGCTTTCACTGCCTCAGGGTACAAAGAGTTACACCACTATTTTGCCAGGAAGTGACAAGAAGGAACACACTGGTTTAGTAGCTCTCGGCTCAGAGCCCAATAAGACAGAGGTCATGTTCGAGTAAACGGACTAAGATGTGGGCTTGTGGTTGCTGGATATGTGGGGAGTGTGAGACTCATGCAGCCAAAGGATAAAAGCCTAAAGGGAGTTCTAATAATAGCTGGCTTCTGCTCGCTTTCTTTTTCAAGAGGGTGAGAGGCAGTATACATTTAACATGTTCAGTAATGGCTGTGCTTTAAAGGTCACTTAGACATGCTTGTTCTAAATTCTAGAGTCAAATACTGACTTTTTTACCCCTTAAGCTGTAAAAGGCTGATGGGGCAGCATGGACATCCAAGCTTTTGAATTCGATAACTCAAGGACGAGGCAATGTTGGATTTTAAAATTCATACAAATCTTGCATGTGTTTTAATTGGAGTGACCACGACCTCAAGGTCAGTGGTCATATTTGTAGAAACCAAAAATTAAACTTTTCATTAATACAACTTAATCAACATTACCACTTACAAGCATATTTATTATCCTGTGATTGTGCTATCACTTAATTATCAGTCATTTCAAGTAAACATTACTTGTGTTGTATTTATATGATGAAACCAATCAGGGTAATTTTCACCCCCTGTATAAAATGATCTAAATAAATAAATAACTATCCATCCCAGAGATGTAATCTCTTCCAGCATGTGCTCGATTGGCACTCATTACATGCCTGAAACACCTCAGCTGGCTCCTTTTGATGTGGAGGAGTAGCAGCTCAGTTCCTCACCCTATCTCTAAGGCTGAGTACAGACACCCTTTGGAGGAAACTCATTTCCGCTGCTTGCATCTGCAGTCTCATTCTTTCAATCACTACTCAGAGCTCATGAGTAGAAATGCAGACCTCACAGCTTCACTTTTACACTCTGCTCTCACTTCATCACGACAGACCAGTCTGGCTGTTAGTCTCCCATTCCTCTCTCTGCTAACTTAGGAAGCAACCCCAAGATGCTTAAACTCTCCATGGAAAGTTGTACCTGACCCAGAGTGGACGATCCAGCCTTTTCAGGCTGAGAACCAGATTTGGAGGTGCAAATTCTAATCCAGACTGATCCACACCTGGATGAAAAGTGTTCTAGTGCAAGCTGCCCCAGGTCATTGATCACTGAAGCCAACAGAACCACATCATCTGCAAAAAGCAGAGACGAGATTCTGAAACCCCCAAACCCATTGACTGCGCTTAGAAATTGGTAGCAAAGGATAGCCCTGGCTAACTAGGCCCAGAGAACCAGTCTGACTTATTGCTGGTAACGCAAACCAAGCTCTCACAAAAACAACTAAAGCTAAAAACACACTTCAGCGAGTCATAGCACAGAATTGGCCTCGTGGTATGCTGAGGACATGCTGGCTGTGAGTGAACAGAAGGAGGAGTGAACAGTTGCTATGTTCCTGTCTGTGTTTCAAGAGCAAAGGTACCACCTCTTTCAAGCTGATTTTCCAGTCCAGAATTGGACAGTCCTAGCAGCAGGTGGAGCTTTCCTTAATCCCAGGAGGACCACTGTTGCTCAGACCTGTGGTGTAGAAGTAACAGTGGCAGCACAGGACACACTCTAGTTGTCTCAGTAGATCAGCTAACATTGGTTTTTGATAACATCCAGTCTGGGAAGTTCTCAGATGATGAATGCAGCGGTGGAGTCTGTCTTTCTTATAATCACTCGCAAAGTGACCCTAACCCATGATACTGTGTGATACCAGCTATACAACAACATTAATGTTTGACTTTATTATTGCCAAACAACACAAAAAGAGAATTTTGTAAAATTAATACTTGTAATAAAATTAATTACCTTTTGTTGATCATACCTGATGCCTTAAGTGACTTTAAATTCAAGACTTTTGCTTGTATGTTTCTCTAATATGCTGATATGTTTAAAGGGGAGGACAATATAATAATATAATCAATTTAAAGAATTATTAAACTGCTGTATCTGACTTAATCACTCATTTAGTTTTACAGTATCTCTTAAAACCCTCCAGGGATGCCCATTTGTTTTTGTTGATGAATGAAAGGTCCTGTGGGTGGCTTGTTCTATATCCCGTATTGAGTGTATATGGGCCAGCAGCTGATCTAAATGCAGCCATAGCTCTGAGTGTTTACCCGCAGGCTTACACAGATACACAGAGGAAAGAATCCAATAGCGCTCAGCTTCTATCTCATACAAACAAAAGGCTGATAAACTCTCCATAGCAACAGCAACCCCTGCCAAAGTACACAATGTCCATCATCAGCATGTTGACATGTACAAGAATTCTCAAAGTGCCCTTATGCATAATCTTTTTGTACCAAAGGTGTGCAATGTTTGATAGATAAGAAGTTATAGACTTCATATATATCATGACAGCTCCCATTGGTTTCGTGTTCTACTGTTTTAAAGCCTCAATTTGGACTCATAGACATTAAAAAAGAAGATCGTAGACTCTGGATCTGAAAAGTTGAAGCAAATGTGGAAGTGATTTGCTAAATAGACTTCTAGTCCCATACAAGTCTAATTAGAACACGGCGCTCTGACTTGATCCCAGTAAACTTGTCTGCCTCTAGGCTCTGGGCTCTGGGCTAATAATGAGTCAGTATGACTCATTTTGGGTTATATTGAATAAAAATCCTGAGTCAGTTTCACGAATCTTGCTCATACTCCGTTTTTGAAAGGATAGTTGTTGGATATGCTCAATGGCTGATGAACTGTGATTGACAAGTTGTTAGAAATGAGTGGGTTTGCAAGCCACACCTGTAATAACACATATTTTTACTCCAGAACCCTTAGTAGCAAGCTAAAGTTAAGAGTTTTATCCTAAGAATTTCAGCCTCAGGTGGCCATTAGAGGAAATGAATAAGATATAGTTTCATGAAACTTGCACATCTTCTTCTGCTTTTATTTACATTTTACACTGTGTTTTTTTCTTTCTTATTTCTCTTTACATTGGGTTTGTGATTATTAGTGTTATTTAATATCAGTTCTCTATAGTAAAGCATCTGGAACGTGACAGATTCAGTTTTAATGAACGAACAAGTAGTGGTAATTGGTGATTTTTTTAAAAAAAAAGGAAGATAAACAACCTGCCTCGGCTCAGTTACATCTCTCGGTGACCTGTGGCCCAGTGACCTGCAGACAAATATCCAGAGCAGAACATTACAACCGCCACAACTGCCAGGGTGAAACACTGTAAACACCCTGGCTGCCAACAGATACTAACATGCCAAATGTTTTCATCATGACAAACTAATTGTGATTTCAACAGCAGTAAAGCACGCGGCTTGCTCTGCCAATGGGGTGCTTTTCATAAAGCTATTCATTTACTGCATATTTGGACTGGAGCTACAATTATCTCCTCCACTTTAAGTCAGCCTACAATAAAACACAAGAACTATCTCATTTTCTTTTCAAGTAAAGATAACTCCTGGCTCATTATATTATTAATAATAATGGGGTAATGGTGCTGAGCTTCTATTGCTGCTGTTACCCTCTAGTGGCCTGTTTGATTATAGAAACATCCACCTGTAGTTAGTTTGCATGGAAACTAGTGGATTCACTGTTTGCAATACAGTCACCAGACACTTAATTAGGTACACCTTGCTCAAACTGTCTGAGCTTGTCATGGCTTAGATTTAACAAAGTGCTAGAGACATCACCTTTAGATCATCTAAGCTTTATGACATCGTGTGTTATCCTGTTTTAAGCAGCCATCCAAAGATGGGTACACTGTGGTCATAAAGAGATGGATATGGTCAGCAACAATATTCAAGTAGGCTGTGACATTTTAAGCGAAGGTCAGTTGGTACTAAGAGGCTCAAAGTGTACCAAGAAAATATCCCCCACTCCAGCAGCAGCCTGAACCACCGCTGATACAAGGCAGGATGGATCCGTGCTTTCATATTGTTTATGGCAAATTCTGAACCACTATCCCAAAGTTTCAGCAGAAATCGAGACTCATCAGACCAGGCAGCGTATTTCAATCATCTGTTGTCTAAGTTAGTGAGCTCATGAGAGCTGCAGACCCAGTTTCCTGTTCTTAGCTGACAGAAGTGGCATTTTAGTCCACCTGCTTCAAGGTTTAACATCTTATACTGTTCTGCATATCTTGCGTGCAAAGAGTGATTACTTTGTTAATCGTTTTCATGATCAGTTTGAATTTCAGCAGGCTCTCTTGACCAAAATGCATCAAGTTGCTCCCGTGTGATTGGCTGATAAGAAATGTTGATAAAATCTTTAATTGTACAAACATTTAATTCTGAGCATCACTGAAAGAAAATACAGCCTATTTCATTTAGAAGAATAACACATTCACCACAACACAACAGCTTCAAGTCACATTAGCTCCACCCCACGCTTCCAGTTGAACTCATAGTAAGTAGTACATTCTTCATCTTAAAGCTCAAAGATGTCTTGACGTGTGTAGCAAATGCAAGAAGTATTTACTGCAGGTACTCTTCACTTGTTCACTTGCCACAATTTTAATAACAGAAATGTCACAGCCTTCACATTAATGTCAGTTGGACTGTTTTCACACCTTGGCCATCTGCGTATGGAGTAATAAGACAGGTCATGAAAAAATGACCACTTTTACAGTGTCACCACTGTCTGCTGACTGGGCAAACTGAAGAAACTGCCAACACTACAGAAATTTCATGTCTACGCTTGCAACAAGTCTGTGAAAAATTGCACCTTTAGATGCTGTTAAACTGAATTTTCTCCTTTTTTTAAACTGAAGCGGGTCAGTATTTAAGGCCATGTTCAGACAGGGTGCAGTTTCTCATCATGATGAAATGAGAGGTGAGTGTAGCGTTACACTTATAGACATCTGATTGCATTGAAATTGGACGTCCAAACGTATTTAATCTTTAGCGATTTTCATTCTTTCAGCACTTTAATGTCCCGCTTCTATAACCACAGACTGCTGACTGAATAGTTCAAGGTACAATTTTTGGATATTCATGGAACTGTAAGATTTCTTTGCAATATAACTGTAGCTGAACATTGGCTGTGTGATGATATAGTGTTGTTATAGGCATACTTTTTTTTATTATTCTTTATACTTTTATAATTTTTTTGTAATGTGTTTAATCTGAACTCAGTAACTTGCAAATCAAATGATCAATTATTGTTGTTGTAGTTGTTTTTAATTTAAAAAAAGGAGCAAAAATAGCAAAGTCTGCAGATTTAATTAAATCTAAATATATTGAATTGGTTGAATTGACTTGTAATTTTTATTTTCTTTGTCCTTTTCTTTCTGTATAAATATAAACCATATCTAAATGTGTTTCTGTCATAAAACCCAAGCCTTTAAAAGCGTTTTTCCTCAATTAATTCCAACATCTCGCACTAATGATATGTGATAAAAAAAAAATAAAACCAAAGCTTCGAGCATCTGGTCACAAATTGTTTGTTTCTCCAATAAACACTGACATTTGTACAGTGTTTTGTCGGGATTTATTCAACGAGTAAATGAGAAAGCATTTAAATGTCATCTTTTACATAACTATTGTGTAACTGTTGTTATCCCCAGATGGTTGTCTTAGCTCTGGCCATGTTCGTAGCATTGTCATCTTGTGCAGTTGGTTGCTCGGGGAACACAAATTCTGTGAGTATGAGCTTTGTTCATTGATGTTATGAAGCTAGAAGGCAGATGGAACAATACAAAAAAAAACATTTATTATGCAACAAAAGTTTTCCCCAGATGTTATTTAGCACAGACAGAACTGTGCCGAGCTCTTGTCACACTGAGCTCGTAGAGAGAATAGAACATCACGATATGTTTAATATCAATTACTTCAATTTGTCGTTTGAGAAAGTTTTTGTTTCTTCTTTTTCAGTCTGAACTCAAACTTTGGCGCGTAGAAGATCAACCTTTGTCTGTGCAACTAGCTGCTATTTTCAAGGTGATGCAATGAGCTATTACACAATTAGGGCAACAAAATTAATAAACAAGTCTGTTGATTAACCATTCTGTTAAATAATTTTTCGTTTATTAAAAAATAAAAAAATAAATGACATTTTAATATCTTTTCTTTTAAATTTTAAGAAATTGTGGCCTGTATTTTTCACCTTTTTGATGTTATAGACCAGACACTTTATTGGTAAATAAAGTAAGAAACTAGGCAGGTTAATTATTCACTATTCTTTAAATCTTATTTTTTTTATGGACATCAGGCCTTCATCTTAGCGAAGGGTTCCTGTAGGCCAAAAACGTTTGATTATATTACCCAATTCATCTACTTTAAAAAATTATTTTATTTATATCAACTGCCAATTTTGCATCAATAAAGTCAAGGTGGAAATGTTGCTTCAAATGCTTGTTTCCATTTTCTGTGTGTTAAAATCTGTTTTTATTTTTTTACTTGATTTTTCAGACATTTAGTAGGAAATCACTAGAATTTGCCTTAAAATGAATTGCAGTGGGCTTTGCTTTTTTAATGGTAAATGGAGTGGTTCTTATAGAGTGCCTTGCTTTCCACAAAGTGGATCAAACCACTAACCTTAGGATTTGTAGACTACCTGCACTACCTTATGAGCTACGGCCATTGCATTAAAGCTTTTATTAAAGCACAAGATAAAATAAAAAACATAAATAAATTATAAACATCTACAACAATCCAGCCTTCTGCAAACAAATCCTCAAATCCAAACCAGCTTTTTACAAGAGTACTGTATATACAGTATACATACTCATATATAGATATGCATGTATTTGTACACACATACACATGCATTTATTCATTCCTTTTCTTTATCTTCTTGTTTCTATAGTGACATAAGTATAGGTAACTTCTATAAATTACCGCACAGTTACTACTCTGACTCTGTATGTATTGGACATAATCTGAAGCATCTGGACCCACTATTTTTATTATTATTATCATTATTATGTAAATCCCTATAAATCCGAATTATTATTATTTTATCTGTCAATGAGACTGCAGCATGTCACTCGTTCTAAAAATGCTCACTATTGCAGGAGATGGAGAGCCTGAAGTGTGAACAAACAACACTTCAGCAGCAGCACAATGCTCTGACTCAGGTAGCCTCTATATAACTCCTTACAATCTGTCTCCATACTGAGCACCAGCTACTGAATGTGTTATTTTTTTCATGCGCAGATGCATATATCAAGCCATCAGAAAAGAGCTCAGAAGAAAGTAGGTCAGTGAATAAAATAATCTGCATTCTTTACTCAAAATAAAACTATTTTCAACACGCACTCTTAATTCAATATGTGCTGCAATCTCTCTTCTCAAGCAGGAACACACATCCTCACTTACAGTCCAAATTACATTGAGGTTGATAACATTCAGTCATCTGTGGAAGATGCAAGAAGACGAGGTGACCCCTGTTTCCACTACACGGTCCTAGATCAGACCTGGCGCGCCACCAACACCACCAGCAAGCTGAAGATGTGTGATCGGCAAGTAGACTGGAAAGGTAACCGACTGCACTTTCTTTATATGTAGCATGCACCTATTTCACTAAAAGCAGCAATGGCATTTCAAAAAACAGAATAAAATTTTCATCTTCTATTGGAGGGTGGTACCGTCTTTTCTACAAGGGTAAAAGTCTGCAGATGCCTGAGAGGTGCGTCCCTGTGAACAAATGTGGCACCAACTCCCCGCTGTGGCTGTCCGGGCCTCATCCAAGGATCAGGGATGGTATTGTGACCCGCAATGTCTGCGGCACTTGGAACAAAAGATGCTGTGCTTTCCATTCCACCCCCATCAAAGTCAAGAAGTGCCCAGGCAACTATTACGTCTATCAGTTCACTAAGCCAACATCCTGTTATTTGGCTTATTGTGCAGGTATAAATGAAAAATGCATTAATATTGTGCACATTTGTGGGAGCGTTTGGCTTTTGGATGCTGAAAATTAAGAAATTAAACATCCACTTTCACCCACAATCCATATTTATCCTGATTGCTGCAAATGTATACCTTTTGGAACAGTCTAATTCCTGCTAAGAGCAGTGCTTTTTAGAGACCTTTTCGAATGTTGCTGAATGTGTGTTCTCAGACGTCAACACGCTTGTGTGCGGTCGATGCAGGAGAAACCAGTCCTGTGTGAGCAGAGATAAGATTAACTGGAGATGCAAGACAAACAGAAGTAAGTAAAGTTTTTGTCAGTTTGAATGTGTCACACTAACGTTTACGCTGAAGGGATGGAAGGCCTTGGATGTCTGGGGCTTTTATTCTTCTCTGTTTGGTGACAGCGTTTCTTTGTCAATCATAATGCAACTTATTGAATACTAACATTGATTAATATGGGCAATCAGGCACAAATAGTTGCATGTATTATTGTACAGCACTAATTTGTTACTAGTTTGTATCTATATATATACAAAAATTCAACATAAAAAAGCTTTATTAAACAACTGTGTTCAAACATTTGTATTACTTTAAGAAACATTAAGAGACAGGTAAAGTCTTCCTTTTTTGCTCCTCAAACTTTAATTGTAAGCAAAGCTGGAGAATCTGCTACATAGTTTGTGTAAGAATGATTAAGATATTATCCTGTGTTTTCCATAATACACCTACAAAAGCCTCTCTTTATTAAGAAATTGCTGCAAGGTATATATCTATTTGTCTTTGTAATAATACTAATAAGATTACCTGCTCTTCAGTGTCTTCCCAAAAGATCCACTTCTTTGCGTCTTACCCAGCCCAAATCAATGGCAAACTGAACAGGATCAAGTACAGCAAGGTGCTGGTGAATGTGGGCCGAGCCTTCGACAGGAGGACTGGTGTGTTCAGGGCTCCCGTCAAAGGAATCTACCAGTTCTTCTTCTCCACTCAGACAACCATTAAGGGCCTTAAAACCGATCTGTGGCTAGTAATAAATAATTACTGGGTGGCCGTTTCTCGTGCACATGTTCCCCGTTCCTACAGTGTTGGAAGCACATCTACCTACATGACTTTCCTCCGCAGAGGGGCTTCAGTCTATGTCACCCACAACTGTGGTAACTCCTGGGCCACTGCTGCATCCATGACGATTACATTTGGAGGCTCACTGCTTTTACAAAGTAAATAATATACACCTCTGATGTTTAAAATGGTGCTCATTGATGTCGCGTGTCACTTTTATTTGTTTTTGTATTTTAGCAAAGAGGAGATAAGGAAAAAGTTTGTTCTTTCTGTCAACAGATTCACGGTTGTTGTAATTTATTTCATTATTTTTGCTAATGCTAACTCGTGCTAAATCAACCAGTTCCACTGTATTAACTACTCTGGAGTGCCAGCTAAATGTCTGCTTTGATGCTTAAGTGAAAATATTAATATTAAAAAGACTTAAGAGTGATGTTATTATCTAAATTCATCATTATTGCAATTTATACATTCATTTAAAATTCACTTTCAACTCAGTTTTATTTATAAAGCCTCAAAACTCAGCAAGGCACTTTATTTGGTAAGAAATCCCAACAAGCACTATGTGACAGCGGGAAGAAAAAGCTTTTCTCAACAGGAAGAAGCCTCCAATAGAACCAGTCTAAGAGAGGGCGAGCCATCTGCTGTGAACGGCTGGGGATGGAAGGAAAGAGAAAAAGGGGAGCATAGGTAGACAGGACAAAACACAGAGGATGGGAGACAGACGTGCAGTAGTAATAGCAGGAGCAGTAGCCATAATACAAAGTGGTGAGGAGAGTAGAAATGTGCTGTCTGGTACAGGACGTCCTCCAGCAGCCTGTGTCTACAACAGCATAAAAAGTGATGCTTGAGTCACCTGATCCCACTCTAACTATAAGCTTTATCAAAAAGAAGTTATAAGTCTAATCTTAAAAGTGGAGAGGATGTCTGTCTCCCAAATCCACAGGCAAAGAGCTGATAGCTGAAGGCTCTGCCTCCCACTCTACTTTCAGAAATTATGAGAACCACAAGTAAGAGAGCAAAGTGCTCCGTTAGGGTAATATTATATTATGTACTCTTTAAGATATAATGGTGCCTGATTATTCAAGGTTGTGTATATGAGGAGAAAGATTTAACAGGGAGCCAGTGAAGACAAGCCAGCATAGAGGAAATATAGTCTCTCTTTGCAGTTCCTGCTGCTATCCCCACTGCAGCATTTTGGATTAATTGGAGGCTTTTCACGGAACTTTAGGAACAACCTGATATTAAAAAATAGTAATAGTTCAGGCTAGAAGTAATAAATGCGTGAACTAGTTTTTCAGCATCACTGAGGCAGGATAATTGTAATTTTAATAATATTGCTCAGATGAAAGAAAGCAATTCTACATTTTTTTTTAATGTTTTTGGCATATACTGATCAAAAATGACTCCAAGATTACTACACATGGAGCTGTTGGAGGCCAAGGATTTTAGGGCCAAATATAGAAGTAGGAAATAAAACGTCATCCAGTCATTTATGTCCTAAATTAATTGATTTATGATGTATTGTAATGACAGAACAAATGTATTTTTTTAATCATTTATTTATTCAGGTTAAAAATTGTATCTCAATGAAATCACATACTGGATGATATTTTACAATATAAGCATTTAAGTTAATACGATTAGAGCAACACTGCTGTTTGTCAGGGTGGAGTTTTAAGCCATTTACGTCTCTTTTACACAAGGTGGCGCACTAATATCAGAGTAAGCCTAGTGAGAAGCCGGCGGCACTTAAAGCGTTCAGCTTCTTTTACAGGAGGTTTCATTCAGGAGGCAGCGTTAAGATACAGCATAGGAGGGAAAACCTAAAAAATAATGTTTTATTTATCACAGGTTATTTGATAATTAATCCAGTGAATGACTCGTTGTCTACATAACTGTACGTCTGCTTTTCATTCATATCATCTTGAGAAAATCTTACTGAGACCCAGTTTTCCCTTTTATGGTAAAAGAGGGCATCATTAAAGTGAGGCCAAAAACATTATGGTTTTCCTCCGAGTGTTTAACAGCTTAGAGGTGGCGTCGTCATTGCTGAAATATGTATCAGAAACTGGTGGAGCGGTGGTCTACAGAAATATTTGCAATGCTTTTCAACTTACACATCGCTGCCTGACCAACACCTCTCCACAGGGCGGGGGCGGGGCTTAGACGAGGATGCTTCAATCCTATTGGTGTACGGTCGTTCAGGAGGGACAGGAGAGAAACTCCAGGAAAAAGGACGGACGGACAGGGGGAGCTGGCGCACGGTGTAACGGGACGGTACCTTTCGGCGTAAAGACGAAACTTTGTATGGACATGAGGATATTTTGGAATAATTCCTGCTTGTTAAAAGAAAAGCGGAGCTCCTGAAGGGAAACGGCGTGTTAAAACGTTCAGAATTAGCAGCTGCTGGTTTTTAAAAGGGAATTTCCGACCTCAATTAAACATGACTAAAATTAGAGTTTGACCAAAAAAAAAAAAAAAAAAAGAAAAGAAAAAATGAGCACCGACTACAGAGCTGCACATTAAAGTAGAGGAGGTGGTCAGGGAAGCCCGCCAATGTCCACCCTTTGTCGGCACTTCAGAGCAACTTGTTGACACATTTTATTTTCCAGGAGTTTCAGTAAGAAGAAAAAAAAATAACAGTATGGCAGAACACGAGAGCCTGGAGTTTGGAAAAGCAGACTTTGTGCTTTTGGACAACGTGTCTATGGAAGAATTCATGGCTAACCTAAAACTCAGGTAAGCCAGCCCTGCACGGCTGCGGTCGTTCACCTTTGTAAATCCGCATGAGTGTCTAATAAGCACTCACGCTCGGGAGAGTGGAGATTTAGAGCGAACACGGTACCTGCTAACAGCATTTTTAGCCAAAATGTTTGCTGTTTGTCATTCAACAGGTGCTACAAAGCTCATTCTTGCTGAATGAAGAGAACTTGTCAAGCTGCTATAAGCTCTGCCATCACCTGTTTTCGATACGTCACTTTCACATGTGAATGATGGGATGGGAAGCTTGTTTATAGTGTTTGGTTGCTGTCGCGCTTCTCACACCTTTTCCTGCTTTCTGACCAAACCGGTAATTCGCTTTGAAATATTTTGAGTGAAACTCCACCCAGCCTCCACACACAGACATGCACACAACTCCTGTACGGTTTGAACGGATTCTCCTCCAGACCGGTTTCTATCAGCTGTGTTGTCAGTGGCTCTGTGTCAAGCATGATGTCAGGCACGCCTTGCAGCGTGGGGGTAACATTACGTTTCAGATGGGCTGTGGCTTGGAGTTCAGTTTCTTCATCTCCTTTCCTCACCTCTGCCATCTGTGATGAAAGTGGAAGCTGATCCCCAATGTCAGTTTGGAGTGAGGTCTTGGTGTGTTGGTGTGTTTTTAATGGTGTGGTACTGGGGGAACTTAGAACAAAGCAGGGGGCACACAGAAAATCAGAATATTTGATCAGAAAAATACTTCACAGGAACGGCTGGCTACAATTTTGAGGTACATGAATTGATGAATTAGATGGCTAATACATGAACAGTGGTGCTGCACAAGAGCCTCAAAATTATTTTGTATTTAATAATAACTGTTTTATAAATTAATAAAATAAAAAGTTAGACCTTTTACTTAACTTTGTTAAATAGGACTATAACTTTTTAGGATAATATACGCAAATAACCTGAAGTGAAAGTTTGGCAAAATCATGCACATAATATAATTTAAAAAAATGATTGATTACTGTGTTTATCGGTTAAATATTGGAACTTGAGATGATTGGTTTAATTGGTTTTATACTGCTGGGTAGCTTTAGCTGTAATGGTGCAGCACAGTTTATTAAATTTGCATCAGAACCAAAAGGTTTAAAATACATGGTGTGGAGTGCTAATAATATTTGCATTCAAATATAGAGGAGTGGACATAGACAGTAGCAAAACACAGAGATACTTAAAGTGCAAGTATATTAAAATTGTGCTTCAGTTATGTATTTCAATAAATGTCAATTTACAGCCGGAACAATTAATAACAGTATTGGCAGTAAGCTGGCATGTGAAGAAACATGATCCATAAATGGTCAAAAGCAAATAAGAGGATATGTGCTGAAAAAAAATGTCAGTGTCAGAACTGTGTGTTGCCTTAAGTTGCACAATTCAAACTAGCAATGGAAGTTGACTCAAACAATATGCTTCGGTTATCCTGTCTATCTTTGGCCAGGAGACTCTTGCAACAGAGATTTGTATTCCCAGGAGCTTCACTTCCTAATTAAATAAAGATTTAAAGAATATTGAAAAATGAATGTAGGGATGTAATCAAAAATAAATAAATACATAGGACAAAAACCTGGCAAGATGTTTAGTCACTAGTTTCACTTTCCCTACTTAGCACATGTGCTTTATTAGTATCACTATATGGATGAAAGTTTTAGACCATACCACTTATTCTTTGACTTTAGGTGTTTTCTGTCCGTTTGGCACAGGTGTATAAGATGTAGCTCCTCCCTTTCTCCCCTTACAAATATTTGTGAAAGAGTGAGCTGATTCTAAAGAGCTCACCTGTTTTTGTTAGGGTTAGAGTGCTGCAATGAGTCATTTTTTGAACTTTAAGCAATATGACTTCAAAGTGGAAGTGTTTGGGACCCACAGCAACTCAGCCACATACAGTTGCTGTACTTAGTCACATGGCTTCAAAGGGTTGAACCTCTTCTGTCATGAATATCAGCACAAACACAGCATGCCTGGAGTTTCAGGGCATGGGTTTCCATGGTTGAGGAGCAGCATGCACGCCTTACATCACCAAACACAATGCCAAGTGCAGGATGGATTGCTGTAAAGCACCACTGGACTTTGGAGTAGTAAAAATGTGTTCTGTGGAGGGAAAAATCATGTTTATCTGTCTGCAAATCTGATGGATGAGACTTGCTTTGAAGAATACCAGGAGAACATTAACTCTCCAACTGTGCCACACTTAAGGTTTGGTGGAGGAGGGACGATGCTGCGGACTTGTTTTTCTGGAGTTTTGGCCAATTGTATGCAGTTTGAGGAAGACAAATTTCCAGTGCATCGTGACCATACCCTAGTGCACAAGCAAGGTCCATAAGGGCATGGTTGGATGAGTCTGGTGTGCAAGAACCTGAGTGGCTCATGCATAGCCCCGACCTCAACGGCATCCAACATCTTTGGAATGAACTAGAACACAGTTTGAAGTATCTGCTGTTATAGCTGCAAAGCTTGGACCAACTCCATATTGATACTTATAGATTCAGACGTCATAATGAGATGTATTAAAACATTTATTCTATAAATGGACCAACACTTTTGTCCATATAGTGTGAGTCACATCAAGATAAGACTTTATTGATGTTCAGGGGAAAAACACCTAATGAGAGAACAACAAAGGATCTGAAGACAGGAAAAATGCTTTAAAAGGAGTTACAAAATAATACAAAGAAGTAACATTTCACTTTGTGCCGATGTTACAAACTTAATCAAATAAAGTGTCTTGGTAGTTATTGGGTCACAATATTACATACTGACAACTTCTGTGCTCCTTGAGATTGATTCTCCAAGTGCAGCATGAATCACAATCCAAAAGGTATTTCTTATTTGATGATGATAAAGAGACCGGCGACTATCATTTAAGCCTAAAATATCCGAAGTTGGTTTGTGGTTTTGTAACCTGGTGACAATGAAGGCCATAGACTATGTTCGACATCATCCTCATCAAACTATTTAGTGAGCCCCTGAGTCTTGATGTTGCCTTTGTCATCTTGAAGAGACCGCTTACACTAGGGGTAAACTGTTTCATCAAGAATTAAAGTGATCACTTAGAGCAGCTTTGTTTTGACTTACAGCGTCCTTCCTTCCTTCTTAGGGAACGTATAACAGAGGCACTGCACTCATTGTTTAACCTGTCATCTGTAGTGTAGCGAGTTTTGCAAAAGCGTAAAGTGTTTTGCTGCTGTGAATGTGAAGGTCTTCATTAAACAACATACAAGTTCAGTTATTAGTAGACATACTGCCAGCAGTGACTTGTAGAGTAAATATTTGAAGGACTTTAAGGTTGCACTTTCCAAGGTCTTTTTCTACTGGCAGTCAGTTGGCTGTGTGGTTTTTCCTTATATGACCAAGCAGAGCAAGATATTCAGGAATGTGGACCACACCAAAATGTTTGTGATTCCTTTTCCGCCCGTGGAGGGTGGGGCTGGTGATAATGGCGAGAACTGTTAGATGCACGTACCTGCTTAAAAGAAGTGGATTGCAGCCAGAATCACTTGGTGCTAAGTATTAGTGGTACCTTAAAGTCTTTCTTCTCCCTCTCAGTACCTTCTGCCAGCTTTTCCTCATGTTTTACTCCGCATAAACATTTGTTACAATGTGCCAATATTCAAGCTTAAATCCATGCTCAGAAAACTGGGGCTTTTAGAGTTACTTGAACACCATCATTAGAAGGAATATATTTAGGGAATATATTAAAATCATTTCAATATATTTCAGAGCTTTAGTTGTTAAATGCATTTGGACTGCTCTTTTTTTTTTTTTTAGTGTACAGTTTGCTGTTTATGATAAATCAAAGATGTCTGAGAGGTGAGAGTGCCAGATGCACAAGTGTACATGTTTATAGAGGACATTGCCGTTCTCGTTAACAAAGCTTTTACTAACATACTTTTAAAATTAGATCAGCTTCTGTGGTGTGAACAGTAGCCTTGGCAGACAGGCAAGAAACCTGCAAGGATCCAGACAGCACCCGGCCTCTTTTTCCCGACTCTGTCCTATTTTCTGTCTGTTTGTTTTCCCTCCAGCTAGACAGCTCGGTCCAGAGGTGGCGTGTGCAGATTGTTATTTGTAGAGGGTGTGACCAGCAAGGAGTGCTTCCTTTTTGCTCCTTTTCCCCTAGTCTGAGGGTGCATGCATGCATTCATGGGCACATGTGTGAGTGTGTTTAGGCCGTCTCCAGTTCTCTCATCCAAAGTGAGCCGTGCTGCAGTCCTTTTGCACATCTCTCATGGGTGTGTTTTACACCGTGTGTGGGAGCTGAGCGTCATAATATAGTGTAACACACTGAAATTTAGCTTCAGAGCCACTAAATTGAATGCATTTATTTGAAGTTATTTACAGGTGCTGGAAGAGCTAACATAACATTTTCCAGGTGGTTCCTCAGGCGCTCTTACTGAGAAGCTCACATTGTTCACTCTTCCAAAAGTTGTGAAAATCCCCAAATATTTTTATTTAAAGTGGGTCAAAAGCCAAGCTTTGGTGTGGAGCCAGTCCTCATTTAGTGACTCCCCAGTTGGCCAAGTTTGACTAACCGACTCAATTACTCCGCTCTATATGGGATTTCTGCTAGTGTTGTTAAATGCCTGCCATGTTGGGAAGGTAATCAAGTTCCCCGGTGGCTGCATGCATGTAAGGCATGATTTGGAAAAGATTGCTTGTGTTCCCTCACTGTGGCCAGAAATGGTTGTTCAAGTTGACATTTACTTTGTTTGACTTGAGGTTGAACTGTGTGGCCTGTTCCAGAGAGCCTCCCAGTCTCAAAATAGAGCCCAGCAGTTGCCCAAAGTCTTTTTGTAGAGATGGTAGGAGAATAATGCCAGATAGCTGTATGGTCTTGAGAACTTTGCACATCGACATTAAGCAGATATGCTCAAAACTGTTCAGCAGAACCTATATCTGATTATTTTTATAACTGTGAGTTATCTCTCCTAATTTAAACTCATGTTTACTGATGACAGTAAATCTGATTTTATACCTTAAAT